GTGGAGAAGGAGAAAGCTGATGAGTGGTCTCAGCTGAATGACGATCTCCGAGCACAACTGAGCTTGGTTGTCACAGAGAGGGATGCCCTCGGTAGAGAATACGAGGCAGTGAAGTCCAAGTTGACTACGACCTTCACCGACGCCGACAAAATGGTGGCCCAATACAAGGCCGGTGTGGAGGCAGCCGACGTCCGCCTGAAGGAAAATGCTGAATATATAAAGCGACTATCCCACAGAGAGACCCTCGAGGAGATCCACGCCCGAGGATTTGACCTATCGGCTGAGATCGGAGAAGCCAAAAAAATTGAAGCCGAGGCAAAGAAGCTTTATGAGCCCGAAAATACCGAAGGCTCCGAGGGTTCAAAAGGATCTGAAGGCTCCGACGGCTCTGGCGAAGAGTCGGGCCCTGGTGAAGATCAAGCGTAGATGTGTTAGTAATTTGTTTGGTTTTGTCTTATGTACATTTTTGTTTATTTTGAGGCCATTTTTGTTGGGCCTTTGTAAGTATATTCTGGAATATATAAAATATTCCCTTTCTGGCAATTCCGAGTCTTTACTTTTTTAGCATCTTCTAATAATTTCTATTCTTGCAATGTTCCTAATGCCTTAGCATAGAGTCCAATGTAGTTATAGGCGTCCATTTTTTCAGAAGTTCGAACGGAGCCTGACTTCGATGCAAGCTTGTTTGCTCGAGGCTCTAAAAACTCGGTGCGATCAGAAGTTTTTTCAAGATGCTTTAGTGATTTTAGACAGTGCTTTTGTCGAGGGTAACCTTTTAGCAGGTTTTGAATTTTTATAAAGGCCTTTATTTTGATTACGAGCTTCGGACGTCTCCGAGCCATTTTTTGGCGGCGTAGCCTTTTGTTTTTGGGCATCGTCTAATAGGTTTGGTGCTCCCTGGATCTAGTAGCCCGGTTCATCTGAACTTTTCTCGGATGATAGTCCCCGAGTAGGGGTAGCCCTCGGGCTCGATAGTCCCCGAGTAGAGGTAGCCCTCGGGCTCGATAGTCTCTGAGTAGGGGTAGCCCTTGGGTTCGATAGTCCCCGAGTAATGGTAGCCCTTGGATTTGATAGTCCCCGAGTAGGGGTAACCCTTGGGCTCTATAGTCCCTGAGTAGGGTAGCCCTTGGGCTCTTAGGATACGGGGTTTTAAGAGGCAAGAAAATGTATAATAGCAAGACGGAACTTTCTTTCATTTCAATGTGTAAAGTACATGATAAAAATTTATATCATGGCTAAGGTGGGCTATGTGGGCACGGTTCTTACGACCGTTTGGCCCTTATGATGTATCCTAACCACCGAGCCTTAGCTACTCAAGTACGAAGTGTTCTCCCTTCCTTACTAAGAACCCTAACCCGGGGATGATGGCCCCCAGTATTCGAGGTCGAGCTTGAGAGGGATCGAATATTGTTGATGTGCTCTGAACGTCCATTGACTCCGATTTTTGACTGACTTTCGAATCTAAGTTAGCACGTTTTATTGTTGCCTCGTTAAAAACCTTGCTGGAAAACAAATTTTGGGAAAAAATCGGTTCAAGAAAAAAAGAGTGCAACGCATGCTTTCAGACATAATAGCCACATCCATTCTTTAGTGTTGCCTGCAAGTGTTAGTTTGATTCATAACATGATAAAAGAGTAGTTGAGATCGTACCTTAGCAGTAGTACCATTTTAAGTGTCATATTCCAATTGTTTGGTAGTTGCACACTATTTCCCGCTTCGAGTTTGTTTGAGCCTTTACCAGTAATTCTGATGATTCGGCGCGGTCCTTCCCAATTCGGTCCCAACTTCCCCTCGTTCGGGTCTCGGATGTGTAATATTACTTTTCTCAACACCAAGTCCCCGATCTTGAAGTGTCGAAGGTTGGATCTTCGGTTGTAGTATCTTTATATCCATTATTTTTGGGCGGCCATCCGGACTAGGGCGGCCGCACGCCTTTCATCCAATAGTTCCTGGTTCGTGATCATGGCCTCGCCATTTGAATCTTCGGTCGCATATTGGAACCTGGGGCTGGGTTCTCCCACTTCGACCGGTATTAAGGCTTCGGCACCATAGAGCAGTGAGAGCGGGGTGGCCCCGATACTAGATTTTGAAGTCATACGGTACACCCACAGGACTTCGGGGAGGATTTCCTTCCATTTCCCTTTGGCATAGGTCAACCTCTTTTTTAGGTTTTGGTGAATGGTCTTGTTCGTAGATTCTGCTTGTCCGTTTCCACTGAGGTGGTATGGTGTTGGTAGTATTTTCTTAATCTTATGATCTTCGAAGAACTTATTTACCATGCTGCCGACTAACTGTTTCCCATTTTCAATTACGATCTCGGTCGGTATTCCGAATCGGCATATTATGTGGTCTCAAATGAAGTCAATGACTTCTTTTCCGTGGACTTTCTCGAACGCTTGAGCTTCGACCCATTAAAAAAATAATCGGTCATGAATAATATGAATTGAGCCTTACTAGGTGCTCACGGTAGGGGACCGACAATGTTTATTCCCCATTTCATGAACGACCATGGGGATAAGACCGAATGGATTAGATCTACCGGTTGATGGATCATCGGTGCATATCTCTGGCAGCCGTCACATCTTTGTACAAAGTCCTTCGCGTCTTTCTCCATGTAGATTCAGTAGTAGTCGGCCCTGATTAATTTTCGAACCAAAGATTCTGCTCCCGAATGGTTCCCGCAAGTGCCTTCGTGAACTTCTCTCAAGACATATTCAATATCTCCTGTCCCCAAGCTTATGGCCAGTGGGCCGTCGAACGTTCTTCTGAATAGAGTCCCTTCAGACAAGCTAAACCTGGCAGCCTTCATACGCAGAGCTCTCGATTCTTTAGGAACTGAGGGCAATTTTCCAGTATTCAAGTAATCTATGTACTTATTACTCCAATCCCAAGTTAAACTCGTGGAGTTTACTTCGGTGTGACCTTCTTCTACTACCGACTTCATGAGTTATACTACTGTCCCCGAGCTGAACTCATTGTCATCAACCGAGGACTCCAAGTTAGCCAGAGCATCAGCCTCGTTGTTCTGATCTCGGGGCACGTATTGTAGGGTCCATTCCTTGTATTGATGCAGCATTACCTGTAACTTGTCTAAATACCTTCGCATTTGTTCCTATTTTACTTTGAACGTCCTATTGACTTGATTTACCACAAGGAGGGAATCACACTTAGCTTCGACCACCTCGACCCCAAGGCTTTTAGCCAATTCGAGACCTGCAATCATGGCCTCATACTCGGCCTCATTGTTAATGAATTTCACAGTTCTAATAGATTGCCTAACTACATTCCCTGTAGGAGGCCTCAGCACGATACCGAGCTCGGATCCCTTTGCGTTGAAGGCACCGTTCGTAAAAAGGGTCCAAATTCCCGAGGTAGCCCCCGAGGCTAACAATAATTCTCTTTTAACTTCGGGCACTAAGGCCGGCGTAAAGTCGGCCACAATTTGAGATTTTATGGTAGTTCGGGGTAGATACTCGATATCATACCCCGCTGATTTTGATGGCTCATTTGGCCAATCGGACCGAGAGCTCGGGCTTGTGCATGATGTTCCTCAGTGGGTAAGAGGTTACGACACATATGGGGTGACATTGAAAGTACGATTTTAGTTTTTTGGAGGCGCTTAGCAAAGCGAGCGCCAATTTTTCCAGGTAAGGATACCTTGTTTCGGCCTCGCCTAGAGTTCTACGAATATAGTAAATAGGAAATTGCGTATCTTCCTCTTCCCGGACCAAAACTCCACTTACTACCACCTCGGACACCTCTAAGTAGAGGTACCGTTGCTCATCCGCTTTTGGAGTGTGGAGGAGTGGCGGACTCGAAAGGTATCATTTGAGTTCTTCCAAAGCTTGTTGGCATTCTGGGGTCCAGGAAAAATTATTCTTGTTTTTCAGCAGTGAGAAGAACCGATGGCTTTTGTCCGAAGATCTTGTTATGAACCGGTCCAGGGCAGCTATACGCCCGGTCAGCCTCTGAACGGCCTTGAGGTTGTCCACCACGGTGATGTCTTTTATGGCCTTGATCTTGTCAGGATTAATATCGATCCTCCGATTGGATACATTGAATCCGAGCAAATTTCCCAATCCAACCCCGAATGCGCACTTCTCCAGATTCAGCTTCATATTGTATTTTTTCAATATGTCAAAGGTTTCCTGTAAATGTTTCAAATGGTCCACTGCTTGCAGGGACTTAACTAACATGTCGTCAATATAAACTTTCACTGAATTTCCTATATGTTCTTCGAAGATCCAGTTTACTATGCATTGATAGGTGGCACCGGCGTTCTTTAATCCGAAAGGCATTACATTATAACAGTAGGTGCCGAATTTAGTGCCAAATAAAGTCTTTTCTTGATCGCCCGGGTCCATCCAAATTTGGTTGTACCAGGAATAAGCATCGAGAAAGCTGACTAGATCTTGCCCGGCCGTCGCGCCGATCATCCGATCGATGTTAGGCAAAGGAAAATAATCCTTAGGGTATGCCTTGTTCAAGTCTTTATAATCTACACACATTCATAGCTTATTTCCCTTTTTAGGTACTACCACTATGTTGGCTAGCCAGTCCGGGTACTTAACTTCCCGAATGGATCCTATTTTAAGGAGTTTAGATACCTTGTCCTTGATGAAGGTATGCTTGACCTCGAATTGTGGTCTCCTTTTTTGCTTAACCGTATGGAACTTCGGGTCCAAACTTAGCTTATGAGTGGTCACCTGCGGCGGAATCCCTGTCATATCAAGATGGGACCAAGCGAAACATTCTATGTTAGCTATAAGGAATTTAATGAGTTTTTTCCTGAGCTCGGGAGTTAACCTCGTGCCCAGGTATACCTTCCGATCGGGCAAGTGTTCAATCCATATGACTTGCTCCAGCTTCTCGACCGTTGATTTGGTGGCATCAAAATTATCAGGGGCGATGAACGACCTAGGGACTCCGTAATCATCATCCTCACCTGCTCCACGCTCTTCCGATTTGGTCGGGGCCGGTATCGGTGATTGCTATTTAGTTTATTCCTTCCTAGTCGGCTTCGTGTTCTTTGATGTCGAGAGCACGGGCACCGAGATCACCTTGTTGACTGAGAACATTTCTTTTATGGCCGGTTGCTCTCCGTAAACCGTCTTGATTCCTCCTGGGGTGGAGAACTTTAGTCCCTTGTGTAATGTCGAGGGTACTGCCCCCATGTTCTGAACCCAAGGCCTTCTGAATAAGGCGTTATACCTCATGTCCCCTTCGATCATGTAGAATTTGGTATCCTGAATCGTCCCGGCGGTATTTACTAGCAAAGTTATTTCTCCTTTGGTAGTTTCGCATTCCATGTTAAATCCATTCAACACCCGGACCGCCGGCACTGTTTGATCTTCTAGCCCCAACTGTTCTACGACCCTCGATCTGATGATGTTGGTCGAGCTTCCTGGATCACTCAACACACGCTTAACTCGGGATTTGTTTATAAGTATGGACATTACCAGTGCATCATTATGAGGTTGAACGATGCCCTCGACATCCTCGTCGCTGAACGAAATGGCCCCCTCCAGGATATAATCTCGGGTGCGCTTTTCCCTCGTGATGGATACTTTTGTGCGCTTTATCACGGGACCTTGAGGGACATCGACCCCTCTAATGATCATGTTGATGACATGTTGAGGTTCTTCTTGGTCTGCCTGTTTGTTGGAATCCCTGTTCCTGAAGTGGTTTTTGACTCGATCATTCAGGAATTCCCAGAGATGCCCGTTATTAAACAACCGTGCAACTTCTTCCCTCAGTTGTCGGCAGTCCTCGGTCCTGTGGCCATGAGTAGGGTCTCTCTGGGTAGGGTCAGATTGCAATGATCGAGGCCACTTGGTCTCCTTGATGCGTCCAATGGCTGATACGATGCTAGTTGCGTCAACGTTGAAGTTATACTCTAACAATCTTGGAGCTTCCCTCCCCCCGATCGGCCTGTCGAATCCACTTTTGCTTATCAGGCCTCGGTTATTGGGCCCTCGATCGCTTCTCTTTTCGTTTCTTATAGAGTTGCGCCCGGACCTATTTCCCCTTCGATCTACACTGTATGGTTGATACCGATCTCAGACCGGCCTTGATTCATGATTGACTATTCTCTTAGGCATGTCATCGGTTCTGATGGGATAAACGGACCCGGAAGGGGCTCCGAGTTGGTCATCCTCGACTCTGATTTTTGACTGGTACTTATTGTGAACGTCGGCCCAAGTTACCGCCGGGTATTCTATCAAGTTTTGTTTCAGCTGCTGCAAAACCAAGAAGCTTCGGGGGTTGAGACCCTGAGTAAATGCCTGAACGGCCAATCTATAAGATTAACAACAAAAAATTACCACAAAGCCTCGTATTTATTTGCGTAGTATAAATAGAAAACGAGTTTTAAAAATTATACTTGAATTGTTGGGGGAACTCAATAAAGAGAACACCTCCAAAAATAGGTGTATGCCATTATTTGCGGCGTGCACACAGTATTCTTTAGTTCGAATAGTTCGTTTTGTGCTCACCGCGTGGCTGAGTGAGAACTCTAAGCGACTCGTGTGGAATTTTATATTAGTCTAAGCACTTGGCACTTGGCATTTGGCAATTGCCTTCTCTTTCGGTGTGGTATGGACACAGACCTCAATTGCATACCTTTGATTCTTTTTGTCAGCTCTCCAAGGCAATAAGCAAACATTAAAACACATTTTATTAATCCACATTTTATAAGTTAATTCATTCTAAAATCGATGTCATATGTACCGTAGCGTTGTTAATTAAGGTTGCTTATTTCAATCTTCAGATGTTTATCAACATGACATAAACATGTACTTTAATCGAAACTTATTATAACTCCTTAAGTGAAGCAAATCAAGCAATTACTTTGATTTGTCTTTGACCGGTAGAAAATCGAATTGAACTTCTTAATATGAAAAAAAATGAGGAGGCCAAGTCATTGATTTTTGCTTCGTTTTCTCCTTGCTTTCCCTTCTTTTCCTCAAATTTTCAGCAAGCAGAACATCTACCTGGAACATGAAAAAGGGAAAATCTGGTTCTTTCAATTTTGTCTCTATATAGATCTCCTTTGCCTCCCTCAAATCTTTGAAAATATTCTAACTACTTTATATGTTCATGTGCTTTGTTGAGTCCTCCCCTCCCCACCACCAACTTCCCAAAATCTTTATTTCAGCATTGCTTCAAAAGATTTCCTGAGTAATCTTATATCTTTAAAGAGACGAATATATAAATTACCTGTCTCGAGTTCTAATATCACAACTATGGGTCAAGTAAAATTTAACCTATATGGTTTCAGGACGAGCTTCCGCCAATTGAACAGTTTATTGGATTCTTTCTGAATATTAAATGTGTCATAAGATTCCACATTAAGTAGTAAGAGTATAAAAGCAGACGGATTTAGATAACTGACTAATGCGACATAATAAAAAGAAACCATACCAAAACAGGATTTGTATAAGCTATCCATACGTTTTGTTTAAGCATTGGGCAGGGGCCGCGCGAACGCAGGCCCACGCTGCCACAAATTATGATATAGGCTCGATCACTTGGGCCAACCTTAGGCTAGCACCCCTCCAAAGTGCAATGGAGGTCACTAGCCTAGGCCAGGGCCTTGTTGATCTCCCATTCTCTGCTCTCATATTTGGTCTAGAAAACATGAAATCCTCACAAAGACAAGAAGAATGGGAAGACTTCACTTCTTCTAACATTTCTAGTACCAACCAATTCATTCGGACTAGATATCTTACGGACCATTCCTACGACCATTCCTTTAATACTTCTGGCTCTCGGGTGTCTCTTTGTAGGATACTTGGCCAAAGTGTGACTTGTTAGCCCATAAGCAAGTACTATAATAAAGCGGTTGTTGCTCACCCGACACAATCATACGAGGTAATAATTCACCCAATACGATCATCCGGGGAGAACAAGAATTGGGGATCGGATGTGTGCGGAATTTCTGCCAATGGCTGAGTTGTTCAGCCGACTCCCTCCCCCTTTGTGGGGGGG